GCTGGGTTCTTGAGTCTTTCATTATTTCTTTATCTTTCCCTACCAATTTGAGTTCTATAGAATCTTCTTTGCTCTTTTGGAGATGGATTTCTTGAGTGTTGTCTTCTTGAAGATCAATAATTCTTATTATAAAAGAAGAAAGAACTGATCGATTCATTGTTAAATAATGAGTCTATAGGTGTCTCATTGTCTATTTCAACTTTTCTATCTTGTGCTTTGACTCTTTTTCTTTCAGTATCATAGGTTTTTTCATTTTCTACTACTGTATTTTTAATACTCCATGAGAGGCGTAGCCCTTGTAAGAAAATATGTTACTTATAGGTTTTATTGAGCGTCTCTCTAGATGTAAAGCATATAACTGTAAAGTTTTGTTTTTTCAGTATAAAGGGATTTCTTAGAATGTAACATACTTTCACTTCTATATCATTGAGTGCCCTGACTACTAAACTTGAATAGGACTTGTTTGTGTCTAATAGTCTTGTAGAGTTTTTATTTCTTTTATTAGAATATTATTAATCTCACTGTTTGTCAGTTCTTTCTTGGAGAAGATAGCTCTGGTAGTTCCTATTCCTAAGGGGGTTATCCATAATTTTTCTGGATTTGTCTTGAGGTAACTATACTACTTGATATAAGCCTTGACTCTTGTTTTTGTTTTAACCTTATAGATATATATATTTCACACCTCATAATATCTCTTAAAATATTCTTTTATAAGATGTTGTAAAGTTTTGTATACTATGTCTATTAGGTTAACATGCCATATATTCTCTTTCTCTTTTTTTAATTGAAAGACCTTCTTGTCTAATATCTCTATATTCTATATTAGATTGGTGCTTGTGTTTTTAAGTTATTGTAAACTGAAAGCTTCTTTCTTTCTGTTTATCTCTTCTAAACATTTGAGAAAATTCTCTTCTTCCTCCAGATAGAAACTCAACCATTCATTTCTATTGATAAATTCTTTATGAAGAAGGTTATGCTTATTTCATAATAATTTCAATATGCTATTTAAGTATGCTTTGATCTCTTCTTCGTTGTCTCCTAAAATATTGACTGTTATTGCCTCTATTTTATATTTGCCCTTTTTATTTATGAAATAGCTTTGGATTTTGCTTTTGGGAGTTTTTGCTTCTATTTTCTCCTGTTCTTGATCTTTCACTATTATTATTTCATTATCTAATGTTGATCTACTTTCTATATTAGTAGTGATCTCTATTGGAATGGATAGTATTTTTGTCAATTTTTCTTTGATTATATCCAGGTATCTATCTTCTATGTAGGATTGAAGCAAATTCTCTTCCTTTCCCTTTCCTTTATGTCAAAGAAAGGTGATATATTGTATAAGGATTTGTTTCTTGTAAAATGTTGTATTATCTATTCCTAGGATTTTGATAATAATGTTATTCAGTATAATACATGTTTCTGAAGTATCTACTATCATGCCATTGTGATTGATCATATCTTTTTATTTGGTAATTAGTTGTATAGCCCATAGTTTACCTATTTATCATGCTTTTTTACCAATTGGACTAGCATATCAATAATATCATTTTCTCTATTATTTACTATCTAAAATATCTACTTTGCTTTATTCATGATAAAATATATATGTGGATTGATATTATTGTTATATTGTTATATTATATTATGAATAGTCATGTGAGTGAATTAATATATGTTTTTAGGGCTATTTTAGTAATTGTTGACAAGCTTTTACATGTAATTCTTGTTATTTTTGACTATTTTTTTGTTTTTGTATGTGTTTTAATTTTCTTTTGATTGGACACATATTGTTTTTCCCTTTTTTCTTAGGTTGTTTACCTGTTTACACCAACTTTGTTGTGTTTTTATAGACCCCTAACCTTTGTTTATGTTGATCACTTTCTGTTGTGGTAGTTGTGTTTGATAATCTTACCAATTTAAGTCACTCTTGTTGTATTGTTGTAATGGATTTTTGTCGAACTTGTTTTAACAATAGCTTTATATACGTATACATGTTTATGCTATGTTAATAATATGTTTTGATGTATGTGGAGATGAGATATATATATTAGACTATTTAATCTTAAGGAGCTTTGAATCCTTCTAAATTTTGAAGAATTTGAGGTTTGCTAGATTTATCAAGCAAACCTATTTGCTTTAGAATTTTTTGTAGTGTCAAGAAAGGTGTTAACCTATACTGGCCTGACTGCAAGTTCTATGAAGTTGATATTGGCTCCCCTTTTCTGACTGTAAATCAGTTTATGTTGACCTGTTTTCTTCTCTTTAGTAAAGAGAAGAAAGTCAAGATTATGCCTTATATTATATTGTTCTCAGTGGTCCCTAGACTAGAGCTACAGTATGTACAAAATGTTGTTTTCTGTGTTAAGATAACTACTGTGTATTGGTGTTGTGAGAAAATATATGTTTTAAGTTATGTGTATTCTCTCTTTCCTTGGGTATATTACCTAAAAAGAAAATTTCTAAGAATCTAAGGGATTTGAAAAAAGAGTTTTTTATTAACATATTGTATATTTTAAATTTGATTACTATATAAAAAACATTATACTATTTAAAATTTAGAATCAAACTAAAGTAAATAAATTTTTTCAAAAAAACTATAGATAAGTACTATTTTTTTTTTAAAGTTGTAATTGATGGTAGTTTATTATAGTCAAGATTGGACAGTATATATAATTATATGAGCAATTCGTATAACAAATTTTAGTATTATTTAGCCTCATATCTTATAAACCCACTTATTTTACCTGCAAGATACTATTATGTCAGTACACTGAGCAGTGATGTTCACAAGGATCCATCATGGACTTGTATTATTTTATATTATCAAAGGACTGGAATATATTATCATTATGTAGAGATATTGAACTATTTTTGTATTCCAATGCAAATATTGTATCATATTTAGACTGCTAGAGTTACTGATTATTATCCAAACTTATGATTTAATATAAGATTTCAGTGGTTGAATGATATATCACATTCGATTTGTATCTTTCATTTAATCCTTTTTAACTACTCTTTAAATATGGTCTTTTAGAGTTTCTCTTGATTACTTTGTAGCAAATTACTCTTTTCATTGGATTGATTACCTTGATGATTGTTTCTAAATTTCTTCTCCCAGGATCTGCTTCTATATTTTTCCATCATGAGTTTTGATTCAACATCACATGATCTTGATCAGGTAAGTTATTTTTTTATAATAACCATTGGTGATCGACAACACATATCTCCCAGTATATGTCTAGCCTATTACTTTTTCAACTAGTATAAGTGACTGAGGGCTCCTAGTCTTCCACAAATAAGTTTTTTGAGAAGAGATAAATATTGGCATCTAAATTGTCAAGAGTGGACCAATTGATTTCTTTCTTTAATTTTTATATATTCCGATTGACACAATATTATTATTATGGTTAAATGCTAAAACTGGCTGTAATCTATGTGACCTGTTCATGTAATCATGATCAGATAATAATTTTCTTTAGGTAATATAGTTCCTTATGATCTACATATTATAATATAGTACAGTTTGAAAAAGTTTCATCTAAATTATATATGTTGTTCTTAAATAGGATTGAATGGCATATGGTGAATGGCAACCTAGGAGTACACCCACTGCACTATTGATCCACAGGTCCTAGATAAGTACTATTAGAATTAATATAATTATAAAAAATAAATATATTATTAAATTTGTTTCTTATTATCATAATTAGAAAAAACTCTTTCCGCTGATCCTCTGACCACACACAAAAAAGATATTCGCAAGAAGTTTTTATACTTCTTTGCTAATAAAGTCTTAATACTTTCATTAAAACAACTTGAAGTATGACTTCAAGAGTCGTCTTTATCCTTTCTCTTTTGTTTACAAACCTCTTCATTCAAAAACTTGACTTCTAGTAATCAAGAAAAGTCAAGTAACACCTTTAATACCAATGGCAAGGAAGTTCCCAAAGGAAGAAGAACTGACTGTGAAGTACCTGAAGGCCTTTTTAACCTTTGAAGCGAGAGGTATATAAAGGTTTTTGATAACAGAAGGACTTATTTTTCCCCTTCCAGTCACTGTTGGACCTCTTAGAGCTATCGCTTTCATGGTTTTCTGGGGAATTTTGCCTACCTCAGTTTGACTCTAAATTTTTGGTAACACAAATCCTCACCAAAGGTGATTGGCTTACATGAAACACATTAGTTTTTAGAATGTAAACAAGCTCCTATTGGTCACAATAACATGTTCTGATGACATTATTGGGGATTAGAAAGAAAGTTCTGAAAACGGTTGTCCCAAAAACCTCAAATCTCTCAATAAAAACTTCTATGACATCAAAAGACCAAGTGATGGATAATGTAGATTGCAAACTCCCATCTCTTACCTAAGTTCCTCAAATGATAACAAAGCTTTAATAGAAAAAAGCTAAGATTTAAAGGCTTTCCTTGAAATATCCCAATCCGGTGCTTATTTAAATAAAAGATCAGTTGGATTGACTTGTCCGATGTTACAAGTGATGAAAAAGAAAATTTCTTTTGAGGTTCAAGTGAAGCAAGAAGACTATCTCAATTAGGCAGATCCCTTTTGAGAAGAGGTTGTTTTTATTTTTGGATTTTTTTGATAAGCCTTGAATTGTCCCCTTTTTCAAATCATTCTTCCCCCTTTCCCTTTTAACTTAGCAATTCATTGGTTTTTGAGCAATCGACAGTAACAAACTGTTGGCAATAATCCTAGTAGATAGAGATTATTACCAATCTATTAGGGAAGTGAAATATTGTTCCCAAAATCTGACTTAGAGTACTTTTGTATGAAGACAAATTAGTCATTTTGTGAAAGTCTGTAAAATATTGTAAATTCATTTTCAATTTTTCAATAAAGATACGTCATTGTGGTATGATTGTGAATTAAAAAAAAAAAAAAAAAAAAACATTATATTATATATATAATTTTTTTATACAACAAAATCAATCTTAATTGATTTAATTGATATAATAAAATAAGAAAAAATTCTTAACTACTACATCTGATCTACTTCTCAAATAAAGTGAAACAATAGGATGAGAATCCACCTTGTAACTATTGCTACCTCATTAAAAACCTGAGGAACTAGTATAAGGGTCACTAGTGTAAGAGTCACTAGTGTAAGGGTCACTAGTGTAAGGATCACTAGTATAAGGGTCACTAGTGTAAGGGTCACTAGTGTAAGGGTCACTAGTGTAAGGATCACTAGTATAAGGATCACTAGTGTAAGGGTCACTAGTTCTAATATAAATTTTGATCTCTCAGATAGAAGGAGTTTGAAAAAAATTGTATTCAAATTTATATCTATCACAAACTATCTGGTTTGTTTTACTATTGTGTTTTATACCCTACTCTGCTATCTTTATTTAGGGAAGAAAAATGAAAGTAAGACTATACAAATTTAAATGGAGGTAAAAACTCTGCATTGCAAAAAAAGCTCCGGAAGGAAAAGGAGAAATGGTTTGATTATGGGTGACTTAGAAACACACTACTACTATTATATTGATACCATAAGCTAGTTACTTTTCGAAGGCTTTATCAGTTCAGGACACAGTGCCTATTTCTTCACTGCTTTCAGTATCTTTATATTGTGAACCTTGTCTATCAGTTCTTTATCTTTTCCTTCCATATCCTATTTAGTATGGGATCTTCTACTGATATTCTTCTGGATAATGATAAGTCAGGGTTTCGAAGGGCTCTAGAATATAGGAAAAGATGAATAGGTACAGAAATGGTTAGGGGCTTGTCATCTAATAATTTGTCCTTTTTTACCATTGCGATAATTCCAGCTTAGAAAGGAGAATCTTGATACTTCTAGCATGTGCCTTGTTGGACTTAATAAATATCATACTGTTTTCTTCAAAGTACTATTATCTGTAAAGATTGAACCATTGTCTAATGTTCTGGCATGATATATTTTTCAGTCACTAGGGTTGTTCAACTGTATGTTGATATTGATGATTAGGTACGAATGATCTTAAGATCTTCCTGATTTTCCAATATTCATGTTGAAAAAAAATAGGTATAATACTTTTAAGGCATTTTGTATTTCTTTGAAACTTGTCTTTATTCTTCTTTCTTAATAGAAGAGAAGAAAGGATATGTTCTTCTCTTTTACTTAGCCAGAGATGTAAAAGTTTACAATGTTTTTATTCATCTACATTACAGTAAAAATAACTTATGGTGGATCTCAGATTCTTATGGATCTGAAGAAATATATTAGAACATGTGGAGTGATTAATAGAAGCTTGTTTATATCTTTTACTAATATAAAAGTTCTATCCAATCACGATGTGCAAAACTTTGTGCTACTCAAAATTCAAAATCAAATTGAGGTATGCAAAATTCCTCAGAAAAACACAGAAATGAGCACTATTAAAGCTCAAAAGATGATAAAGAAAGTGGGAGAGGAGTTTTTTATCACAAGCAAAACTCTGTATTGTTTTCTCTACAGTGTGAGACGACTGTACATTAGTTCTTCTTCCTTTTAGAACTTTCTTGCCATTGGTAAGAAGCATGTTGCTTGACTTTTTGGTCACTAGCAGTCAAGTTTTTGTTTGAAGAGAAGTAATAACAAGAGGGAGAGAGTATAAGGATGACTTTTAAAGTTTTCTTCAAGTTGGTTTAAAGAAAATGGTAGGACTATATTAACAAAGTATAAAATTTCTTGTGAATGTTTTTTTTGTATGTGGTCAGAGAATCAGCAAAAAGAGTTGTGAATATTATATTCTATTATATTACTTCTATAATAATCTTATTAGATTTAAGATCTTTTTATTAATTGTTGGGAGATTCAGTGATTTCTTAATTAGCTAATCTATTATATTATTTTTCTTGATATTGATATATACCTTGACTTTAATTAATTTCAATTTTATATTTTTGTTTTAATAATATTTAACATTCTTATTCAAAAAGTCTAGTTTTTTTCTTTATACTATCTTCTATGAATCATTTTTAGTTATCTTTTCTCAAGTTGTTTCATTTATAGTTTGTCTAAAAAGTCTTTGGACAACTTTATATATTAACTATATGACAATGGCTGCACCAAATCACGTGTAAATAAAATTAACTAAAAGATCAAATGCTCGCAAATTTATTAAAAAAATTAATAAGGAATACATTCTCCCTTATATTCAATAACAAGCTTACAACATTCACTCATTGATTTTATACAGTTATTTATAAAACTTTCTAGAATTTTATTCTATTCTTCCATCATGAATTGCTTTAATTCATTTAAATTTTTTGATTGTTACTTTTCTACATTATTTTTAACAATTTTTCATATATTTTTGATAGAATTTAGGTCGGGGCTATTGAAAGGTCAATCAATTTTCACAGGAATGTTCTTCTTGATAAATTTCTTGACTACATTGCTTTGGTGCTTGGGATCATTATAATGTTAGAATCTTCAATAGTTATCAAGTATTTTCTTAATATTGGGAACATGTTTACTTAAAATATTGACATAAAATAGACTATTCATTATCCCTTAAAAGCAGTAAAGTTTCATTTTATCTTTTTTCCAAGAACAAATTTTTTATCGATTTTTAAGAACTCATCAGATGGGTCAATGGCTTCTATGTCAATACTGAATAGTGTTTCTAAATAATTGGAAGAACATTTTATCTGAAAAAATGATATTCTGCCAATTGTCTTTTAGATGATCTTGTGCCTATTTGATCTGATTTTTTTTATGTTTTGTGATAAACATATGAGTTATTTGTGCCTTTGTTTTTTTATATCCAAGACATTTTAAATAATTACAAACCATTCTATGTATTGCTTTAACATCTTTTTCAGTTAGTTTTGTAGCCAACGATCAGGAAGATATTGATGGATTTTTTTTTATTTGTTGCCTCAAGGTAAGTGAAAACTTGGAATTTATTTTTAGTGGCTGACTATTTTATTTTAAGTGGGTTATACCTTCAGTTATTTTTATTTTTGCAAGGTTATAATACAGTATATTATAGACTTCAAAAGACCCATTTTCTGTTTTATTTCCCTGGTATTTTGTATGCCATTATTCTACCAGTATAAGATGACTTTTGCATATGTATCTTGAGTAACAACCATGTCTTCATTTTAATATATAATAAAATCATGATAATAAATCTATTCTATTATAAAGTAAAAAAAAGTATTAGGCCACTTAGCATATATATTTAAAAGTTATACTGTAGCAAACCTAACTTAAAATGAAAAGTTATGCCTATTTAATTTGCATTATAATTTGTTCAAAAACCTTTTAAACAAACTGTAAATATATAATATATATTTAATTATCTGTATATATTTTGATCAAGCTTTCTACTAGTATTATTAATATAATTGTGATTATCATTATTAGTTTTGCTCTTATAAATAATAATCAGTTTTGTAATTCTGTCTGGAATCTATTCTCTTGTCCTTTATCACTTGTTGAATTTATGCTATCTTTATTTTGACTATTTCTTTTTTATAATCTATTAAGACACTATTTGAATAAAACTATAGTATTTCTTGTTTCTCTAGAAATCTATAGCAATGACCTGTAGGCAATGATTTTATTAATTAGATAAATTATTCAAATTAGTAAAGGAGCAAAATATTATTCCCTAAATTGTATTTAAAGAAATAGTTTTTTAATGATAAGTAAGTCAGTATATGAAAGTCACAACAATTTGTAAATATCTAATATATATACAATAAAGATACACCATGCTGACTTGACTGCAGGTTAAAAAAAAAATTTTTTTCTTGTTTCTCTAGATTTTTTCTTAGAATTTCTTTTAAGTAGTTTTAATAGATTTCTTCTTGAATCTGTTCTTCAATAATTCTTGTTTTTTATTGTTTGATTATTACCTATAATATTTGATTTTTAAGTTCTTGAGATACTTTGATACACTGGATCTCATTTGCTATTTTATTTTTCAATATTTCTTTTTAGAATCTTTAGATATTTGACTGTTCTTGTTAATTTGTATTTGTTAAAAAAAAAGAATCTCATAAATCTTGTCTCTTTTCATATTTATAATATATAAATCATTTGTGAATATGTCTTTTATATATTCCTTGTAATGAGACAAAGTTGTTCTCTAGTTTTCTGCTTGTTCTTTATAGTTGCAATATATCAATTTTTTTTTTGATCTTAAAAAAAATTTCTAGATTAATTTTTCTAGACTTTTGTTTAAAATACATTAGATTTATTGTCTCTTGTTTTTACTTGGATTGAGTTTCAGATAGTTAGGCTTCCATAAGATATTATTATTATATCATTTTTCAACAATTTTTTTTATTATTTTTAATAATAGTAGTGTAATAATCTATTATATCAATTTGGAATTGGATTTTTACTTATATTTTGAAGTAATTAAATCTATCTTCACTTTTTTAATCTCATTATTTCTTTTTTTATACTTTGATTTAAATATATTAACTTATTACTATACAGAAATAGAATGGCTCTTCTATATTCTTCATTTGACAGATATTCCTAAATTGAGTTATTGTCTTTTTTTTATTCAACAGTTTTATTATATTTTTAGTTATAGAAAGTTATACCTAAATATTTTGCAATTTTGAGTACAAAAGTTTTTCTTATCTATTATTTGATTTAATCTTTTATAGTTAAGCAAGTCTTGAGGTTCCTAATATTTTAGTTATGCCTATTTAAGTCTGATAATTATTATTAATTTTACTGAATCTTTATCATTTAGCTTGTTATATAGGCCTATAATTTGGTTTTTTCTTTATACCATTTATATATTCTAAAATTGTGGATTTTTGAATAATGTACTGTATTATTAGATATCAATTTGTATAATATATTTTTAATCTTAAACAGTTTCTAAAATCTAATTATTAGATTATTGTATATTTTAGTGATAATATACTATATTGTATTTGAAATTCTATTTTTAGAATTAGGATTATATTTAAAATATAAAGGACTTGTTCATATATTACTTTTTTTTTTCTCAATATTCTAATTATCAAATCAATTTTTCTATAAATTTTTTTCTTTATTTCTATTAAAGTTTTTTAATTTTCTATCCATATACTTAGAAATCTAATGTATTTATTTCTATCTAACTCTTTTACTTTTTCTTTATTTATTCTGGCTTTAACTTCTTCAGGATATTAATCAAGATTATTAATAGTAACAAGTATTAATTTACTATAAATTTAAAAGTTATTGGCTTTGTAAAAAATTCTTATTGTTTCTAGAATTTGTTCATATTTATAATTTACTAAGAATTTTATTATTTGATAATGATTGTACAATTTGTTGAAGTTTTTCTTGAGATATAAGAATTATAAGTTCTTTATATCAATTATAATCAATATCTATTTTGAATTTTTACAGTTCTCAGTCAGATAATCAAAATAAGTACTTCACTTCTTGAAAGCTTCTCTATAATATTTTTATAGTTCTTTTTCTATTTCTATTTTTTTTATTGTAATGTATTCCTAGATTATTGTGTATAATTTTAATTCTATTTAAAACTATTTTAACTTTTTCTTTATTTAATAATGTTAATTATTTTTTATTGATTGTTTTTAAGATTATTACTTTTCTATTTTTATGCTCTTTTGATTTTTTCTTTAGTTTTCTTGTTTTTTTTTATTTTGATAAACTATTTTGAGTATTTTAATTATATCCTGAATTTTTTTTTTGAATTTCTAATTAAAACATATTTTCTATATTATATTATAAATATAAGTTTTCAATCTAAAGCCCTGAATAGTATTTTTTGTTATATTCTTGCAAAGCCATATTGAGGGACTATATGTTTTCATATGCTTTAATCATTTTGGCTTTTTTTAATAATATATTAAGATTAATGACTCTTCTTTATTTAGTGAATTCAAATCTGGATTAATACTTTCTATTCTGATTTGATCTTATTTTTTTGATTATTAATTTGAAGAAGGTTACTAATATTATTTGAATTTTAAAGCTTTTTCATATTTGATTTATCTATTGTTTTTTTAGTATCTTGTTTGATTTATTTTCTAGTAGTAACATTATTTTTTCTTCAATTTATAGTTTATACTTTTTGATAATTTTCTATTATTCTTTTATAGATCTTTGATATCTATTATTTTGATAATCTTGTTGGATTGATTAGAAATTTTGCTTCTTAAAAAAATATTTTTATCTTGTCACATTACTATTAATATCATATAATTACTTTCTATTGTATCTTATACTGTATGTCTTAATTTTCAAAAAAATTTATAGAAATTGTATTATTTTATGGATCATTCACAAATAATCGATTCTGTTCTTACTTATAACATTTTGTCTGATAGGTAATTGGTTTTTTTCTTTATAGATTACCTGTATATCAATAAAGTTTCTATCTTCAAAAAAAGTAAAAAACAGAATTTCTGGTTTTCATAATGGCTTAAATATAATCTTGAATATTGATATTTTATTTTTTATATTATTATATATTGCATTAAGTCTCTTATTATAATTAGATGATTTTTTTTTTTAATTTTTATTAAATTAATTTCTTGATTTTATTTTAATACTCCTGACTTTTATTCTTATTATTTGATAGATAAATCTGTATAATATAGGTTTTGTTCAAAAGTTGATTGCTATTATATATTCTTTCTATTTTTTGATTAATATAATTTTCTTATTTAGATCTTTTCTTATTAATAAGTTAACTTCTGCTAATATGATGTTTTCTCATTTATGCTAAAATAGTATTTATAAAAAAACTGATTCTTAAAAACTTATTTGTTATTAATAGAAGAAAGTTTTGTTTCACTTAATTCTATTATATCTATTTTTTGTTTTAATTTTCCTCTTGACCTAGTTCTGTGGTCTCTAAGAGTTTTTACTTCATAGCTTTTTGGGAATTTTGCCTACCTCAGCTTGATCTAAATTTTAGGATAGCACAAATTCCACTAATTGTGATTGGTTAATATAAAACACATTGGATCAGATTGATAAACAAGTTCCTATTGACCATCTCACGTATCTGAATGCATTTTCTCAACTCCATAAGAACCTGGTATTTACTATAAGTCATAGGCTGTCATGTGGGTAGATATTGGACACAGTCATCTCCTACATCATAGAAAAAGAAAAGAGTGAGAAAGAACAAGCTCATAGATGAAAGGACTTGTGCATCGATAAAAGTAACCTGATATGCTCACAACAAGACAAATTCAGCCTGGTGTAATACTGAAGGAACATTACAAGCCTCCAAGAAAACACAATGTTCTGAACATAGAACTGAGCCTTGAACAAGAAACAAGCAGAATCAAGAAATACAATAGGTCCCACAAAAAGAAGAATCATAAACTAACAACTCATATCAAGACTTTTAACATGACTCCCCCTTTAGCATGGCCATTTAAGCTACTAGTGCATCTACTAATCTTACTCCTGGTAAAAGTACCAGTTGGAAATGACTGCTAGATTGGAAGACTCTCTAAAGACTTAGCATGACTTTGGAAAAGTTGAACCTTCTTAAATAAATAGCTTATACTTGAAGCTGACATTATCTCTAGGATTAGATTATCAACTCATCATAGTTTTAAGGTTCCTCCTAACCATAAATTCCATCTGATTTTTGGATAAGTAATTCCCTAGGTAAAGTATCAGATGAGATGACATCAACAAAGCTAATATCTGAAACCATACCTCTTCCCAGCCAGAAGAAGAACATCCCCCCTTCCTTTCAAAGATAAAAAGACACAGTGCTTCAGTGGATAATTCATAGGTGATGAATTCTCCTTGGCATTAGTCTCAGTAGATGTTCGATAGTAGAAGTAATTTTGATTCTTGCACAACAGCACCTGTTATATTTCTTTCAATATTTCTTGTACTAGTTGAAAGGTAATCTTAGACTAGTCTCCCCTCTTGTTGGTGGAGCAGCAAAAAGCAATCCAGTAAACTGTCTGGTTTTAGGTAGTTCATTAACTCTTATAATACTTATGATATTTTCAATGTAATTTTGAATTTATCTTTATTAACACTAATAAATATACTGAGCTGGCATTAGTGTTCACAATTTTGATCCGAATCCAATTGATCTGTGAATCAGATACAAATCGGATCAGATCAAATTTCAAAATTTTTAATCCAATCGGATTTGAATCGAATCAAATTTTAAATTTACAAAATTATCAGATTTAAATCAGATTTAGATCA